GGCACCCTTGCGAAATATTTTGTGCACTCTTGTTCTTCCAGAAGTCTGCAGCCTGCTATTTTGCTCTGTACCCTGACTTCTCCCAAAAATCCACTTTGGCAGAAATTCTAGGAACTGTTTTTCCCAACTAATCGTCCCTAAATCTTTATATAAGTAAAACAACACCGTTCTTTTATAAGGGAAGCGGAATCGGATGACTTAAGAAAAGCCCAAAGTTTGCCAACAGAGAAGAAAACAGGCAGAGGAATGGAATTAATGGAAGAAAAACAGACCATTGACTGACTCACTGCATTATTTATCAAATTTGTAGGTTGCCAGTTTGATTCATCTCGTGGCAGTTTAAACGAAGTCCCTGGCTGTCTGTATGGGAAACACAACGAGAAATATGTAATTGAACTAAGTGCCCTTTTGTTAATGAAGCTGGCTGGCTATTTTTCCAACAGACGTAAACCCCTGAGCTTTCAAAATTGCCATTTTAGGTCTTGCTTGGTGAACATTTGAACTGAGCAACTCGTGATTCCTGAAATGCAGCATTTCTTAACTTTGGCAACTTTAAGATATGTGGATTTCAGCTCCCAGAATTCCCCAGTCAACCATGTTTATAGTTCCCACTTATCCCCAGGCTAAAGCCACTTTAAAAACATAACACACATTATTTTACCTATTTGTTTATGTATTTAATGTGGGTGACCACCCACACGTATGAAACATATGAACTGTTGTAGAAATTAGCTATGGCTAGTCTAGAGAAAAGAAGGACAAGGGGTGACATGATAGCAGTATTCCAGTATTTGAGGGGCTGCCACAAAGCAGAGGGGGGTCTACTTATTTTCCAAAGCAACAGAGGGCAGGACAAGAAAAAATGGATGGAAGCTAATCAAGGAGAGAAGCAACCTGGAATTAAGGAGAAACTTCCTAAAAGTGAGAACAATTAACCAGTGGAACAGTTTGCCTTTAGAGGTTGTGGGTGCTTCATCACTGGAGGTTTATAAGAAGAGATTGAAAATCTGTTGTCTGAAATGATATTGGTATATGGTCTTCTACTTGAGCAGAAGTTGGACTAGAAAAGGGGTCCCCAATCCCTGGTCCACAGACCGGCACCAGTCCACGGCATGCCAGCAATCGGGCTGCGCAAACAAGAGAAGCCCCATCCACGGGATGCAGGCAGCACGTAAAACCATGGCCCCTAGAGTCCGCGGGAAAACCTTTCTCCAAGGAACTGGTCCCTGGTGCTCAAAAGGTTGGGGGCCGCCGGACTAGAAGACCTCCAAGGTCAATGGTGGGATTCAGCCAGTTCGCACCACTTCAGCAGAACCGGTAGCTAATTTTTTGTTGCCCAGGCCCAGAATGGACTTCCGGAGTGGCATCCACACAGAGAACCGGTTGTTCACCTATTTGAATCCCACCACTGTCCAAGGTCCCTTCCAGTTTGATTCTGATTCTGATTCTGATTCTGATTCTGATTCTGATTCTGATTCTGATTCTGATTCTGATTCTGATTCTGATTCTGATTCGGATTCTGATTCGGATTCGGATACGGATTAGGATTTGGATTAGGATTCTGATTCTGATTCTCCCCAAGTAACTTGAGGGGCAACCATTTTTTTTTAAAAAAAATAAAAAAATAAAACCAATCCAAATTAAAATACAAGAATAAATCCCCCATCAGAATCACCCGATCCGCCATGAATCAATTAATTATTTAAAATTATTTAAGAAACAACCAACAGAAAGCCTAGCCTGGAAAGGGCCTCTGGGATCTTTGCAGTTGGGGAAAAAAAATGTGATGAATGTTTGCATATTTAAGGAAAGAGAAAAGTGCTGGAAGAATTGCAAATAAAGGCCAGAAAGTGCTATTTAAATATAGATTCTTAGAGCCATTGCTTTACACACAGGTGCAAAAGATGGGGGGGACAGGGGACAGGACAGCTGTTTCTTATTCTGTAATACATTTACTTCTCAGTTTCCAATTCTAGCGCTTTGATTTTGGACAACTGTTCTTTAAAAGTCACTGGGATGGTTAATCGCTTTTACTCGAAGCGAGCATAAGAGAGTGGTGAGGGAATTAAATCCTTGCCGTGGAATTCCCCCTTGGGAGACGTTTCGACAATGCCAGAGTAGCCAAGAATAGTAAACTTTAGATAGACGATACTATGATTCTTCTACACAGCCAGGGTAGATATTTCTGCACTATGAGTTCCCAGCACGAGCAGGTCAAGGGAAGATTGTGTCCTATTAAGAATATCGCAGTTCAAAAAAGGACAGGGACAAATTTGGATAAAATATATGGAAGCCATCTCAGAAATAGCTAAAGGAACTGGCTATCAAAGTTCTAGATTCAAGAAAGGTGCAATATATCCATTTTCGAAAATAAGATAAGATAAAATAAGATAACCTTTATTGTCATTTTTTTACTGTGGGCACAATGGCACACATCAAAAATGAAATTTAGTTGCCCGCTCTCAAAGTGAACACATACATGACACACACCTAAACATACTATGAACAACATATGTATAGACCCATGTCCCTACATATACGTAGCAAATAAATATTAATTTCCCCCCCTCTTAATAAAAAAAAAGACCGCAAGATATTTATAGCATGGATTCCACCCTGGTTTTTTTTTACAAGTACAAAACCTTATTTTTTATGTGCGGTTGGATACATTGCTATGACATGATTAAATGAATATGTGATTTATTTAGGTGATTTATATTAATGTAATATATCAAGAAAGGGGTTCCAGTGCTATAATTGCCATTCGCTTTGTACAATTTAATAATTAATTAATCTGTTGTATAGTACTGTTTTTTGTTTAATTTTTTTTTTAAAGGTAAAGGAGCTGGTAATGATATAGTATATTTAGCTTATCAACTGGCAAAGATATGATTGCCTTCTTCTGAATTTTGTTTTTTGTTTTTTTGCACAGAAAGGAACTGGACTTATTCTCTCTGGTCCCAGAAGACCAGACTAGAACCAAAAGGTTAGAAGAATAAAAAGGATGCTCAGAATAGACATCAGATGGAAATCCAAAACTCTACAAGGCCTCAGACAGTGGAACAAGCTGGCCCATGAAGTGTTACATGTTCTTCAACTTCTGGACACCTTCAAATTAAGACTGCAGCCAAAGACGATGTATTTAACCCTGCACTGAGTAGAAGGTTGGGCTAGATCAGGGGTAGGCAACCTTGGCTCTTTTATGACTCGTGGACTTCAACTCCCAGAATTCCTGAGCCAGCATGAGGGAAACTATGGCTCCTTCATGACTCGTGGACTTCAACTCCCAGAATTCCTGAGCCAGCATGGCTCAGCTTAGAAACCTCTCCCTTTCCCCTCAGCATGGCTGGCTCGGGAATTCTGGGAGTTGAAGTCCACGAGTCATAAAAGAGCCAAGGTTGCCTACCCCTGGGCTAGATGATCTTCCAACCCATAATTCTGTGAAAAATATTGTTGTGCATTTATTCCACCTTTTTCTAGCAGGAAAGCCAACACAGGAAGGGTATAGATGGAAGACAACATCACGGTTCTTCTGTAACATCCAGTGAATGAAACAGGGTGATTCCGTGATTAAAACCATGTCAACAAGCATCCAGTATTTCTCCTTTAGACCACCACCACCCCCATACAACTGGGCAAGTGTTTATTTTTAATCAATCCATATTTTATTCTAATCTCAGACCAGAATAAATAAATAAACATATGTTTTTAGTTTCTTAGGTCAGTGATCCAGCCTTTTCTCCAATACAACCCAAAGTGCCTTTTGCACAAAAGCCGCTATGTAAAATGACAGGTGGGTGTTTACTTAGAATAAACACAGTTTTGCAGATAAATATCTCTCTCCCTCATTTTTCTTCTATTAAAATCACACAAAAGACATATTATTCCTACAAAACCACTACAGGTAGTCCTCAGCCACAACCGAGCTCAAAATTCCCGTTAAGAAGTGAGACCGTTGTTAAGTTTTGAGTTTTGTCCCGTTTTACGACTTTTCTTGCCACAGTTGTTAACCGAATCACCACAGTTATTAAGTCAATAAGCCGGTTGTTAAATGAATCCCCCATTGACTTAGCTTGTCAGCTAAGTCAATGGGGGATTCATTTAACAACCGGCTTATTGTCAGAAGGTCGCAAAAAGGGATCACATGACCCTGGGACACTGCAACCGTTATAAGTACAAGTCAGTTGCCAAGTGCATGTGAATTTTGATCACGTGAACGCGGGGATGTGCAACTGTCAGAAGTGAAAACCGGTCCTAAGTCACTTTTTACAGTTCCGTTGTAACTCCGAACGGCCACTAGACGAACTGTTGTACGTTGAGGACTAGCTGTATTTACTTGAGGTAGAAAACAAAAAAGAGAACAAACAAAAGTTACAGGAGTTCCTGCAAATAATCTCTCTTTGGAAACATGTTGATTAAAATTGGTGAGTGAGCTACACCCTCAAGGTCATAGTGATGCCAGAGTCACAAGAAGGAAACCATAAAAGATACAATAAACCAGTGGTGGGATTCAAACAGGTGAACAACCGGTTCTCTTGTGTGGATGCTGCTTCCGGAAGTCCATTCTGGGCCTGGGCAACAAAAAAATTAGTTACCGGTTCTGCCGAAGTGGTGCAAACCGGCTGAATCCCACCACTGCAATAGGTTTTAGGTTTTAGGTTTTATTCAATTTATACCCCGCCCTTCTCCTAGCGGACTCAGGGCGGCAATAAACCCAATGCTAGATCCTTTCTTCAAACAGACTCTCTGAAAAGTTACGAATGTTTTTTTCAAATATGCAACTTCTTCAAAGAAGTGAAGAAGCTTCTTGGATGAGAAGCGAAATGCCTTGAAGGAAAAATAAAATCCAGTTTGCCTTTTCAAAAAGCACCTTTGGGGACCACCCTGTCCTGGATGACTGACAATCTCATACAGCTAAAAAGAAACTTGCATCCGACAATCTTCTGTTTGGTAACTGGTTCCTGGAAGGAAAAAAAACATATACACCAAAATAGCCTTACCCTGTTGTCTTCTTGCGTCTCCCAATCGCTGGAGAACATGGCAGTGTGGGGCCCTTGACTGCAGTTGGAAAATTGGAAAAGGCTTGAAAATATCCGCCGGTTTTCCTGCGTGTCCGGAAATATCGCATCCTGGAAATTTACCCCGTGTGGAAGGAGATTATAATTCTCATCCATTCTACAAAAGGAGAGAAAAGATCAAGGTTTAAAGATGTTGTAGAATAGACTGGAAAAAAAATATTCGGAAAGATATTGTGGGAAGTCAACCCCCCAAAGAAGGAAATATTAAAAGGGCAGAAAAATATATTTCCTCAAAGGATCTTAAAGAGGCAGAAAAACATGCCCAGTTTTCTTAATAGCCCCAAGTCTCCCTCCCCCAAGCAGAAACCAGCTCTGTAGAAATGCAGATGTAAACCATTCAGGAAGGTTGAAGCTAGAAGATTAAGAAGACAAAGACACCTAAAATCTACATACCCCACCCAAACTCTAAGACAGGACGTAATAGGATTAACCCACAGATACCAAAGGCCACACTCAGACTCAGGTCAAAGTTCATGCCACAGGAACAACTCCAAACAAAAGGCTCCAGAGGGTATAAAAACCCACTCCCTACATGTGCTCATTCTCTTTTTTCTTCCAGAGCCATCTTTCTGTCTGGCTCTCCTCTTCAATAAACTGCAACCTTCTTTCTAAAGCAGTCTCCATTTTGTTTATTCCCGGCTTGGACTGAACCATGATGAAGACTTTTCCTTCAACAATATATTTGCAGTGGCAAAGCACTTCTATATTATGGTTGAAAACAGAGGGAAACTACACGGATGTAGCTTGTACGACTCAACTTGAGGAGGACTCCAAGATTACTGGAGGTTTTTAAGAGCTTGGACAGCCATTTGTCCGGAATAGTATACAGCCATGGTGGCGAACCTATGGCACATGTGCCACAGGTGGCACGCAGAGCCCTCTCTGTGGGCACGGGGCACCGTCGCCCCAGTCCTAGGCCTTCAGCTGGGTTTTATAAAACCTTTTTGCTTTAGGCCTCCGCCGCCGTGTGCAAAAAAAAAAAGGTTCAATCAATCAATTTCAACTTCTCGCGGGGAAAAAAAAAGATCTCGCAAAGTTGGAATTGATTGATTGAACTTTTTAGTCCCACCTAGTCTGCCGTTACCACCAAAGCCACACCCACCCAATGGGCCACACCCACCCAATGGACCACGCCCATCCGGCACCTGATGATACATAAGTGGGTTTGGGGTTGCAGTTTGGGCACTCGGTCTCTAAAAGGTTTGCCATCACTGGTATACAGTCTCCTGCTGGACCGGGGGGGAAGGGGGGGCTGGACTAGAAGACCTCCAAGGTCCCTTCTAACTCTGTTTTATGAGTTGAGATTTTGTAGCTTCCTCAGCTCTCCGCCCTTGCTGACTTCAGCTGATCAAGAAAAAATGAGCAAAGCCAGATATTCTCAATACTTGTAGCTAAAATGGCAAACTAAAAAGACCACGGAAGAAGATCATGGCAAGATGCTTCTATATAGTTGCAAAAAATAAATGAATATGTCTTTTAGGAGATCAGGAGTTGAATTCCTGTTGAGGAAGATTTTGCTTTCCTTTTTTAAAAAAACTTTGCATGGAGGGTAATGAGAACTGATCTTCAACTCATCAGCCTTCATCTGGATACACATTGTGCTAGTCACACTAATAATAGCTGTAACCCTGAAAAAGAGGCTGGTCTATGTATCTCACAGAGTTAACTCACTCAAATAGTGCAGTGTCTGAAAATGCACCCCTTTTTATTTTTCGTGTTGTTAATCACTAATAGAAGAGGATATTTGTAGCTCAGAGTTGAATTGTGGGGTCCTTGCTGCTGTCTGAGCTTGGGGGGACTCTCTTGCAGACGTTTCATGACCCAACTAGGTAACGTCATCAGGGTTAGAGTGGGATTTGCAGAATGGGGGAGAAGGAGAGGAGGAGGAAGAGGACAAGTATCCTTGGTGCTCTCTGAGGGAGGAGGAGGAGGAGGAGGAGGAGGAGGAGGAGGAGGAGGAGGAGGAGGAGGA